TGATTTAACTTTAAAGCTTAAAAGGGTAACTGAATTAATTAATTTTAATTTATTAAAAATTACAATAATTACAATTACTAATAAAAATTCGTATATAAATTTCAAAAATGTACGCTACTAATAATTAATTTATTTATATAGACAGAGGGAGAGATAGAGAGGGGGGAGATATAGTATTTACATTTTCCGGAACTTCCCTATCTGTCAAATCAATTGTTTCATTGGGCCCAGCAAATGCATCAAATTCAAGTGTACTTCTATCGATTAATCTTCTATTTCTTTCTGCACCAGGAATCAGAATTTCCTCACCTTCTTCGGTCTAATTATGGAAAATACCAAATAAAATTTTTTACTTAATTCTCCCGTGTAGAAAAAGCCCAGGTTAGCCCCAATACAAGTCGGGCGCTGGTCGGGGCCTGGCTGTAAGTCGGGCTTCCGGCTAGGGGATGGCTAGCGCCCAGATTTAATTTCTACACGGGCTGTTTAGTATTTATTTCATTATATTTTTTAACTTACATTCATAAATAAAGACTAGAAAATCTATTATAATAGAAAATAACAGATACATCACTAAAGAAAATTTATAAAATAAAGTTTACTGGTTTGGGAATTTCTGGATTTTCGGAACCAGATTTTGGAGAAGAATTTCCTTCTTGTAAAGTTTTTGACGAATTATTATTTAATGGACATGGTAGAGCAGATGATTTCTCTCGCCCTGATTGTGAATGCGATTTCTGATGGCTTGGTGGCGATGTTGTTTCAAATTCTTCAATTGAAATTTTTTTTAAATATTCTTATATAATTCTTTTGTTAATAAAATTTTGAAGTACAATAAATTCTTTTCTTTGCCAATTGACATATAATTTTTGTCACAGTTTTTAAATTAAAACTTTATGTAAAATATATTTAAACAAATTTCTTTATCGATAAATTTTTGAAGGAAAATAAATAATTTGTTTTTTTCTGACAGATACATAATTTTTATTTTTGTGGTTAGAATAAGCTAATAATCCAATTTTCAAAAATTATTTTTTTTTAAAACGAAAAATGTTTAATATTTATTTAATTAAATGTAAATAAAGTGAGATAAAATTTATTGTCTACCTTTGACAAAAGAATTATTGTTTCCTAATCCGGTATCATTATCTGAATCAATTAAAGAACTGATATGCTCTTCAAGACCATTAGTTTCCTTCGTACTTTTTTCTTGTAAACGTTGTTTTTTTAACTTTAGTACTTCTTCGTACTTTTCAAGTTTTCTTTTTAGGTTTAGATAGTTTTCCACTTCAAAATCTGATTCTTCATTGCTACTCTCTACTTCTGATGTAGAACTGCCAAGAGATTGACGCTCTTTAAGAGCTTTGTGCTTTTCCATAATTCTGTTATTTTCAAAGTCACAATGTTTGGTCACTTTCGCTTTTTTTGCAATCTATGTTTATTTGGAAAAAATTAATTTAATTTTATTATATTTTTGTATATTTAAATAGTTCGGTTTATTTTTGCTCAAATAAAAGAAGGACTAAATAAATTTTTATAAATAAATTAATTTTATTGTATTTGGAACTGTTATTGATGTTATTTTATTATACTATACTTTTTGAATTATTTTTATTATATATTTTAGAGACATGGTTATGTTATTTATAAATAAAAATGAGATATTATTATTTATTGATTTTACTACTTGTTTCTTTTTGCCGTTGCCTTCATTCTCTGCGTCTGTAGATATAGTACTAGAGAAACTGAGATTCTCTTTATTTGGTAATCTCAACCTACGATTATTGGATTGATTTTCCAAATCTAATTTGCTTGCTAAAATCATTAATAATACTTCAAATAAATAATTTTTTGATAATATTTAATAATCATTTAAAAATAAAAACTATAAAAATTGGCTATTTTAAGACAAATTGTAACAAATAATAAACAAAAATTTATTTATAATACAATAATATGTGAAATAAATTTCAATGCACTCACTACCCAGTAAAACTACATTAGCTTTGTAAAAATCTCCATCATCGCTTTCGGAATTTTCTTGGGACAACCAAACCGAATACGCTTTTGTTGTGCTAAAATCCTCCAAATTTTTTGGTTTAAATGTTTAATGTCGGATACAGGTACTATTTTCCTAATATCATCATCCAAGTACCGAACGAGAGCAAACATTGGAGATTTTTCATTTAATAATTCTTAAGTAGCAGCAGATTGACTTTCCATTTTTGAGGTTGAATTATTCCAATGGACATGTCAAAAGTTAATAAGCAATAGACACGTAACAACGGTTGATATTTTATTGTTATTTGCCATAGTTACGTTTGACAGTTCTATGATTTTGTAATAATGACATTTAAATATAAAAAATAATGTCAAACATTTGTAATTGTATTTTTTTAAATTCAAATTAAATGCAAAATATTTTGAAAAAGTTACTTTTCAAAAACATTCAGTTCCAATTTATTAAACAGTTTGGAAATTTCGTTTATAATCGAAAAAACAGAATAGAATTTATATATTTTTTTATTTAAACAAGATTCTTTTGAAGGAATCAACAAATGTTTTGTAAGTAATTAAAAATAATTATCTTATACTGAATTTATAATTACAACAAACACTAATCCATTATTAAATTAAAAATTCAAAAACTATTATTATAGTTATAGATTTAATTTCCTAAATTTTTATCTGAAAATTTAAACAATTGTGATATCTAAAATAAAAAATTACGTACATACATTTCATAAAAGATTAAAAAATTTAAATAAATTTATAATACATTTAACTATAATTATAATTATAATAATAATGAACGGACCACCGAATAAATATTTAAAATATTTAGGACCACAATCAGAGGAACCTATTCCTTTATGTACATTATATCGGAGTCGAAAACGTGTCCTTCAAAAAGTACAACAAATTCTTAACCTTAAAATGTATTTTAATTAATCGCTAACAAAATTTTAATTTTTGCTATATTAAATTATAACAAAAAATTTTTGAAAAACAATTTTTCTAATAAATCAATTTATTTATACATCAATTATAATAATGGCATTATTTCATAAAATGAAAATCAAGAACCTGCATTTGGCATTGAAAACTTATTAATTGAAAATGAAACGACTTCTGAAGATATAACAAAAAAGTTTCCTTTGGAAGATAATTTATCCTCAGAAGTAAATTTTGAGGTTATCAAGTTTGCAAATATAGTATATAAAATAATATAAATAAATATAAATATATATTATTACGGTATAATTTTTTCTACGGTGTAACTAATATGAGATTAATCCTATCCTAAAATTTAACAACATATACTTTTGATAATTTAACATTTATATTTTGCTTTTACACTTGATTATTTTTATATTTATTTCACATATGCTTCAATAAACTTGCTTAAATAAATAAATAAATTTAACAATAACTTGCTTAAGTAAACTTTGTAAAGGTTCGTTTTTTATCAAATTAATGTTTTATAATTTTTTAACTTTAATTTGAGGCCCAAGGAATTTTTTTTTTTTAATAAACACAATGAATATAAGATACACATATGCTTTTTATTAAATATAACACTCACCATTCACGCTATAATTGTATGTGTGTTGTATGTCAAGTGTGTATAGTATTATAGTGAATTGAGTTCGTTTTATATACATATCACACACGCTACAGTAATTATTTAAGTAAATTGTCCTTGCTAAATTTATAAGAAATTGAATTCATTACATTTTTTAATGTTTCGACGAAGATAAAAAATTGGCAGAGGTATAATTGAACCTGCAACAAAGTTGATTGAAAAATGGATGCAGAGGTATTATTGAACCTGCAACAAAACTAACAAAAAATGGGTGCAGAGGTAATATTGAACTTGCAATCTAAGGAGTTGAGAATTGGATTTATTAATATATATATATGTGTGTAAGCGAAGCTATATATATATATATATATATATATATATATATATATATATATATATATATATGTGTATGCAGAGGTATAATTAAACTTGCACAAGAAATGGGTGATGAATCCTAAGGTGAGGGCTTAGCTGGCTGGTCTCACAGATTCATATATTAAGTAGATGCGTATATGCATATGCATCTAGAAGAGGAGTTTCTTTAAAGAAAGGGAACTCTAAATTGGAACAATTGCGATTCTCTTAATAGCCTAGACAACGTACATTAAGAGAAAAGGGTGGAATTTGGCATAAAAAAGGATAGAAGGAAAGGAAGGTCCTATTCCTAACACACGAATTTAGACAGAGTCCGGCATTCAACGAGAGAAAGTACCAAGACTGAAACTCCAATAGCCTAGGCGGCGTGCACTGGAGTGAGAGAGAGAAAAAGGTTACGGCAGCCTGGACAGCGTACACCGTTAATACATGATACATACTCTTGAGCCTAGACAGCGTACCAAAAGATATGCATTATACTCACTACACCTGTCTGGAACTGTAGTATATCGGTGATGACCTCCCTCTCTGCTCACGCTCGTTGGCTTGCTCCCGAGTAAAGCTGGCGGACTGGAAGTGGCGCGCTCCTCCGGATTGGTTGAGACGTCCGGAACTCTGCTAGGCCAAAGTAAAAGGATATGGCTTGGCTGTTCCTCCTTCCCGCTGCGATCATTTCTTGATTTTCCAGCGTATTTAAATATTTCCCAAAACATCTCACTTTCGGGTGACTTATTAAATTTAATTAAATAGACACCTATTGTTTACATCCGGAAATATTTGAATTTTAAATTTTATCTGTATGTATAGAAAGGGTTTTTCAGAGGCAAAATCAATGATAAAGTAGAATACGCGAATACGCGTTTAAAGTAATTCTTTATTATATTCTACTAAAGTTAATGGGTTTTATAACAGTGAACCATATTGTTATGTAAATGGTTTATTTTTAAGTAGCAAAATTATTATAAACACTTACATAGCCCCCTCTTATTTTCTTTGATTCTAAGATATGGTATAAAAGAAAATAAATATTAAAGATTAAAACTCATTTATTTAAATTATTATTGACATCCATAATCATATTGTCTATTTCTTCCTTTTCTCCTTCTGATAGATTCAGGACTAGATTGTCGTTATCATCAAAATTGCTATATTGAGGTTTGGGACTAGATGGAGTCGGAATATTATTTTTCATTATCTTTTCTTTTTTGTACAAGGCTAGGATCATTGGCAGGTTGACCGGATTGATTTTATTTTTTCTTTTTAGTTTTGATGGAGGCACTGGACACCTTTTGAGTAGTTTTTTGTTAATTACGGCTCTTGTTTTATCCAATGCTTCCTTGAAGCCTTTGGGATCCAAAGGTTCCGTTCCAACATCTTTGGTTTCCGGTTTAGAAGCGGAGAGCAAGGAGGTGGTAGTAGCTAAGGAGACACTCATGTTTTTCTTCCTTGGGTGTTTCCTTTTATTAGAAAGAGTTCGAGATGTACCCATTTTAATGCTGTGTTCGCCTATTTTGATGTTTGTGCTGAAGGGTTTTACAAGACTAGCTTGTATCCACATATCTCTTCTATCTGGGTAATGGCTCGAAGCTGTCTGAGTGGATGCATCCATCTGTAACATATATATGAATTAATTTCTTTCCTCTTCTTCATTAGAGTGGTAAGGTTTTATATCTTGATAGTGGAATTTCCCTCTGATTTTATTTACATTGGGATAAGAAAGAATACAAGTAGTTTTGTTAACGATTTTAGAGATTACATAAGGACCTTCATATATTGACATAAACTTTGCGCTCCTTTTTAAGAATTTATCGGATAAATTAAATGCTTTTAGCAACACCATATCATTGATCTTATAGGGTGGAAGAGTATTCAAATTATTGTTTTTAGTATCATTTGTCCTTTTTCTTTGTCTAAAATTTTCTCTACAGAGTAGTAATTTTTGTTCTCTAGTGGTAAAGGAAGGATTGATGTTTCTAGGAATTAGGGATTCCCAGAATTTAGTAGGTTTTTGTCCTAAATGTAACTCCATAGGGGTATAATTGGTGGTATCATGATGTATTTCATTCAATATCTTTTCTACCATTGGAAGCTTTTCATACCAATTAGTATGTTTAAGATCTTTAAGCAGGATTCTTAGGAATTTGGATATCTCGCGATTGGTTCTTTCTACCATATTAGATTGAGGGTGTCTTATGGAAGTTAGAGTATGAGATATTTTTTCAGAATTTAATTTTCTCTTCCAAGTATTATTAGTGAATTGTGTACCATGATCGGTAACTATCCTTAATGGTTTGCCATACTTTGAAAAATAATCTAGGCTTAATTTTTTAATAGTGGCCTCTGTAGTTTGTTTTCTCAAAGGATATAATTTGACAAACTTAGTGAATCCATCTAAAACGACTAGAATATATCTATTTCCTAATCTGCCCGTTGGTAAAGGACCGTAATAGTCTATAAAGATTACTTCATTGGGTTTATTTACATTTATGACTTCTGTTGGTAGGATAAATTTTGAATTGGTAATTTTATTTCGTTGACATGTATCGCAGGATTTGGTATAACGTTTGATTTTTCTTAATAGGTTAGGGATATAGAAATCTTCTGTTAACATGAATTGGCATTTCTTTGCTCCAATATGGGCATATGTTTCGTGACATCGTTTTATTAAAGGATTGATTAGCTGGACAAGTAAGTATAATTTCCAGATACCCCTACAACTTTTATATAATAATTTATTGATCATAGTATACTTTACATTGTCTATTTTCTCAGGTATGATGGTTTTTAGTTTAGGATCTTCACTTTGGTATTCTTCTAACCTTAGGAACTCTTCCTTAAAGGCTTTAGTTAGATTTTTAGCTAATGGATATAAACATACTCTTTTTTCTTTATTATACTGTAATGTTTCAGGATTCCTAGTATATCTGCTTAAAGCGTCGGCTGCTATATTAATTTTTCCTGGACAATATTCTACGTGTATGTTATAATCTTGTATCGTTAGAGTCCATCGCATTAATCTTCCACTGAGCCATCTACAGGATTGTAAGAACTTTAAGGCAGCATGGTCAGTTTTATGAATGATTTTATTTCCCATTAATAAATCTCGATGTCTTCCGAGGGTCCAAACTAAGGTTAATAATTCCTTTTCCGTTGTGTTATATGATATCTCTGCTGCTCTAAGAGTTCGACTTGCACAAGTGATGATGCATGGTTCTCCTTCTTCATCGAGTTGATAGATAATTACACCTAATGCATAATCACTAGCATCAGTTTGAAGGTAGAATGGTTTATTCAAATTAGGAAAGTGTAACAAGATTTTTTCCTTAAAAAGATTTTTGACCTTTTCAAAAGCTTCTTCATGGATTTTAGTCCAATCCCATTTATGTCCCTTTTTTAGTAGATCGAGTAGGGGTTGGACTTCTTTGGATACTTCATGACTGAACTTAGAGTTAAAATTAATAACTCCTAAGAAACCTTGTAATTGCTTTTTGTTTGTGGGAGTAAGAAAGTCTTTGATAGGTTGGATTTTTCTAGGATCTTGTTTAATTCCTTCGGGTGATATAATATGCCCTAAAAAATTGGTTTCTGCCCTTTTAAATTCACATTTAGTGAAGTTTAGAGTTATATTATGTTCTTGCAATCTTCTGTAGATGTTTTCTAGGTCTCTTAAGTGTTCGTCCTCAGTTTCTGACGCCACCAATATATCATCAACATATGTTATGACACAATGCGTTAAATTGGCTAGAACCTTATCCAATCCTCTAACTAGAGCAGCTGTACTGGTTTTTAGTCCGAACGGAGTAACATTATGTTGGTAACACTTTCCTTTATGTAAAAAAGCGGTATATTTTTTGGATTCTTCTGATAATGGAATTTGCCAAAAGCTCATATTCAAATCTAAGTGTGAAAAGTATTTTTTACCACTGCAACGTTGCAATAAAGTTTCAATTTTCTTAGTTTCTTCGTGGTCCTCTTCTAAAGCCGAATTGAGATTTCTTGCATCCAAACAAAGTCGTATCTTTCCATCCTTTTTGAATACTGGGACCAAGGGGTTGATAATAGAACTATCTGCACGACTGATGATATTCCAATCTATCATTTGTTGCAGTCCTTCCCCAGTTTCCTTTTCATATTTAATTGGTATGGGGTAGGATCGTGATTTTAGTATTTCTCCTTCTTTGATTTTTAGCTTATGATGATAACAGGATATTCTACCAGGTTTTTTATTGAATATATCCTTGTATTTCCATAGTAAGTTCTTGTAATCTTCACGCATGTTTGGATGAATAAGGGAATTTTCATCTATCTTAGAGGTGATGGCATCCTTAGTGAGTTTCATCTCATCTCTACTGATTAAAAAGTTTATTTTCTTGGGTTCCAGTATCGCTTCTTCTTCCTCATCTGCATCATCTATAATTAATGGGATGGATATTTCGATATCATCCTTGTAAAGTATTATGGCATCAGTGTCGAGATTTATTATGCTCTTTTGTTCTTTTAAAAAATCAATTCCTAAAATACATTCTTGAGTCAGATTTGGTATGATGAATAGGATCTGATCAAAGGTAGTGTTTCCTATTTTTAACTTAGTGTATATTTGTTGCTTTATTTTGATTGGTCTACCGCCAGTAGCACCCACGGCACTAACATTGACCAATGGTAAAATTTGACATAATTCAAATTTAGATGTATTTCTTTTTATAAATTCTTCGGAAATGCATGAGATCTGGCTACCACTATCCACAAGGGCATCAATGGAGGTTCCTTGTATAAGGATTTTTATTTTAGGACATTTAGCTCTAGTTTTAGTTTTTATATTTTCTTCTAGGAGTTCCTCTCTCCATTCAAAAGTATTAATTATAAACTCGGTCTGCCCCGTGCTCACTTTTTCCGTAGAGGAGTTTAGTGGCACGGGATGGTTCAGTTTTCCTGATCGGTAAGAGACTTTTCCTTTTCTTCTTCCAATTCAATACTTTGAATATTTCTTATATTTTTATTAGGATTAGGTTTGATTCTGTCATTGCTTCTCCAATTTTCTTGTCTCGAGTCCCTTTTTAATGCAGGGGTTTTATCAGGTTCAGCTTTCCGACTCCTCCAATTCTCGGGGTTGGTTTTAAGCTCTGGATTATCCCTTCTTTTAGAATTGATGGGTCCTGCCTTATCAAAGGTTTCAATAATTTCTAAAAAATCTTGTAGATTATTTATGGATCTACTTAATACGCAATTTCTCACATCATCATTAAAATGTCGGTATAATTTCCTTATGGTTTCTAATATAGATAAAGGTGGGTCTAAATACTTGGCTTCTCTAAATAACTCAAGGGTATAACTTGTCATAGAAGAATCTTCTGATGGACGATAGTGTCCAAATTCTAGTCTAGTTCTAATTTCGTGTTGTATGTTGTCTCCCCAGTATCTTCTTTTAAACTTGTCCATGAATTCTTGTAATCCGTCGTCGGGTGCTTTAACTAAATCCCACCAATTCTTTGCTGCTCCCTTTAAGCAGTTATTAAGCATATAAGGTACATCTAGTTTTGTTGGTTTAATGATCAGCCAATAATTTTTTAATTCTTCCAAAAATTTCATGGGTGACGATCCCTCCGCGTATAATGGATTTTTACAATTAAATCTAAGTGGACTAATTTCATTGTGATTGTGACTTGGGGATAAAGTGCATTCTTCGAAGATCCTCAGTCGTTCCTCCATTGAATCCTGTTTTTCTTGTAAACTCTTCATTTGTTCCTCACCTAAGTGGATCAATTTAGTTTGATTATTGTTTTCCACTTCAAAAGCTTTTTTAACTAATTTTTCTATCAACGATATTCTTGTGTTGGTAGTTTGTCTCAACTCGTTGGTTTCCTTCCGTAAGTCGCTGTTTACCCTTATTTCTAAATCTTCCATTTCTTCTCGTAACTGAATCTTGGAATTCTCTACTTTATTGTCAATTGCATCGAACCATTCGTTGAATTTCCGCTGCTCCTTTTGCATTGCGTCCATGTTGGATTTCATCTTTTTTAACTCTTTCATGAATTCGCTAGAATCATATGTATTTAATTCATCCTGAATGGATTGTCCCGGCAAAGGGTCTGGGATTATTGGAAAAAATTGATTTTAAAAAAATTGATCGAATTTGTCTGAAATTTGTTACTCGGGGGTTTTTTGTGTCGCTACCACCTTTAAAATGATTTAATGCTACAGTTTCAAAAATTTTATGGCCTATTGTGTATTAAGTCATAAGTAAATGTAGTTTATAACAATTTTTGAATTTTTTAAAATTATTTTTTAAAAAATTTTTTAAAAAATTTTGTTTGCAATTTCGGATCCACCATTTTGAATTTTGAAAAATTAAGTTCAGATTCGTAATCAGCGACCCCATAAACCCCCGAGTAACAAATTTTAGGCCAATGGGATCAATTTTGTAAAAAGTCATCCGCCATATTGAATCCGCCATTATGAATTTTGTAAAACTAAGTTCAGATTCGTAGTCAGCGACACAAAAAACCCCCGAGTAACGACTTTCAGGCCAATTGGATCAATTTTTTTAAAAGTCATCCGCCATATTGGATCCGCCATTTTGAATTTTGAAAAATAAAGTTCAGATTCATAATC